GATGTCTATGCCTATTCCTTTCTAGACATCTTATAATCTCTCACTTTGAAGCCCTAAATCTCAAAAATTAAGATTTATACTGTCTTTGTTCTTTGCTTCTTTGCTTCTCCCCTTCCCACCTCTCAGCACTAACACCTTCCTCCTGCCCTATATCCCATCCTGAGCCAGACTTACCTCCTGTCTGAGTGATGACTTGTATGTCACTTGAAAGAGGANGGAGCGCCGCCGCGCTCCCAAGTGGTGCACTGTAGCAGTGCGCCACCGGGCCGGCCCTTGATCTCAAACTTCTTGACTCCAGAACTGAAAGACAACAAAGTTCTGTTGTTTAAACCACTATGTGGTACTTTGCTACAGCAGCCCTAGAAAACAAATACAACCACCAAACTCTATAATGTGGTTATTATTATAGATTAGAAAGTTGAAGTTCAGAGGGATGAAGAAACTTGTCCAAGGTCACACAGCTAATAAATGGTAGCTTGGGATTAAAACCCTGGGATTTACAAATATCACAGCTGAAAAATTAGAAAAACTCAAAGTGGAATGTAAGTTCCAATATACATTCTTATAGTCATTTAACGGTTATGGAGCTGCTAAAATATAATTTAAAAAAACTCATAATAACCATGTTTAGTCACAAAAAAAAGTAGAACAAGATTCATAAATTTCTGTTTTCCAATGAGAAGATTTTACGGTAAAATTAGTCTTTTGTATTTCTTGGCATAATATTATAGCAAATAAATACAAAGAACTGCAAATACCAAGCAGGGAAGATATGTGGATGGTTTTTAGTGCAATTGTGGTGAAACGTATTTTTATAGTTCGCTTTCATACAATATAGTAGAAAACATAGTAAATCCATGAACAAGCCAGAGATAACCAAATAACAATGTAAAAAAATAAAGCCAGCCAGGCTGTAAATATGTTGTGAGATTCCTAATAGCAAGAACACATAGGTAAACATACTGAGTTATAAGATTCATAAAGCCCATGACATAAACACAAGTCAGTGGTTCAATGAAACACAGGTATCAGTGAAACCTGAGAAAGTTCATTAATTTATTACAAGAATCAGCAATGAGTTATGCCTATAGATTATAGACACTGTCTCCAATAATATGGCTCATATGTAGATTCTCAGAGCAAGCCAATGGCATGATGCCCAAATACTCATAGATTAATGCAAGTTTACAAGGTGCCAGCACAATAAGGAATCAAATGAGTAGCTCTCAGATGCTAAGAATAAACTTTAAAAGATGCTATTTTATATTCCCAGTCCAAGGCAAAACTGACCACTTCGAGTCAAAGACTAAAGTAGTTTCATATCCTCTTATGAATATAAAACCACTGGTAGGGCCAAGTTTTTCTTCATAAAATAGTTTGGCTTCTGCTGTAGAATCTAGTAAAATGGGTGAGTCAGGCCTCAAAGTTCTATCTGAGATCTTCGTAACTTTATCCACTGAGACCATGCAAAGAAAAACGAAATCAAAGCCATTTGGAGAATATGTTTACTTGAAAGCAAGTAATTTTCTGGCAAACATAAGCCACTTAGATATCTGAGGTCACCTGACAGTTTTATTTTTAACTT